AGGAAGTACACTGGCCATCCTGATGTCATGACAAAGTGGTGCAGGACTGACTACCACGCAGATTGCACTGAAGTGGTATGTCATTTTTTCTTGCCAAATGCAAAGCTTTTTTGTGTTTCTCCTACTGCATTTTTTTATAAACTGCACATGCAATGTTAGCACACATAGAACCACATTTGTTTATGTAATGCACTGCAACATATGCGTGACAGAACTGCATTTTCTCACACCCCCCATAATCTGTGTAAAAAAGGGTAATAGGAAATGACCTCGCGTGCACTTAAAAGTGGGACTGTCTAGACGTTTGAGAACAACTTTTGTAATTTTTTTGGTTCGTCTGAATAGCAACTTGATCTGTGATGTGTGTTATTTCTACCTCGTGCTTGCTTTTTTATGCCAGATGAGGAGGATGACTCAGGTGATGAAGGTGATTTATGGTGAAAAATGTATATCGAAGAACCACCCTGACTGGGTTAAATTGGCAGAGAAGCCCTCTTACCCGGTCATGCCAGCGCAGGGAGCAAATGAGTGCGAAATCTATGTTCTGAGGATGACGCAGTTGTATGACTGCCAACGTCTAGTTGAGAGAATTTTGAAATTCGACGTAACACCTTCTCTGTTTTGTTCTTTTTCTTGTTACCTTGTTTATTATTTTAATTTTTTCACTTTTTTGTTCTTTATGACAACCTTTTTTTTAATCACTGGTCTGCATTTTTTTCATTTTCTTTTTTCAGCCTGCTGTTGAAGATTGGAAGGTGGAGTACATGTTCCAGCTGCTGTTCAATCCTTCAAACATGTTGTGTCATGAAGACATGCTGCTTGAGCTACGTGATCTGATTGCGGACCTCGGGCTCACTTCCTTGTCGCAATCACAGACGCATTCGCAGACGCATTCGCAGACGCAGTAACAGTCATTTTGGCACTATTTCTACCGGGGTAAACCTGTGCGTGGACAAGAACTAGGGTTGATGTTGTGTATTGTGTGCTGACTAAGGTAGATAATGTATGAAAAAGACTTTTTTCTGTCGTTGTGTTTTTTCATGTTCTTTTTGCAGCAGTGTATGTGGACGAATTTGTATGTGTATGTGTATTTTATATAAATAACTCATATAGTATATGTGTGTGTGTGTGTGTGTATTTTTATTTTGTCGACGGCCACGTTCTGTGTGAACTGGCATTTGTCACGCTTATATGTATCGTATGTGTTCCATAAACTGCATCGCATTTGATGCCGAACTTCTTTGTCCAACAAAAAGCACTGCATTTTTGTCTACAAGTTCAGCGCTACACTTGTGTGTATCCCGAAACTGCATTGTTTATGATACTGCACTGCTTTTTTGCCCAACCAAACGCACTGCTTTTTGCCTAAAGTTGCGTTCTACACTTGGTTTTTTTATTGTTTGTACGGTAAGGTAGATGGGGGGCCCAATTTTTTAGTTGTCTATAGATTTGTATTGCTCCTATATGCATTGCGTGCGTTAGCACGAGGCCGGGAAATGGGTGGGGAGGGGGGGTCATGACCCCCCTCCCCAAACCCCTCCGAGGTCGAGCCTGAAACAAGCTGGAGCAGGCGGCGACACCGCGTGCCGCGGCGCCGCATGCGTAGGCGAGTCCGTCACACCCCATCGCCTCCCTGTCTATCTTAAGGGTGTGGCTCTGGGGTTGCGTGCATCCTATTTGTTGGAAAAACAGAATGCCCGCACTGCGCCTGTCAACCAAGCGCACTGCATGCATTAGCACGAGGCCGAGCAGGG